CCCCGCACCCCCACTGCCCTATGCTGCATAGGGGGGCTCTTCCACAAGCTGCCTGAAGCTGTGAGGCTGCTGTAGGAGCTGGTGAGTCTGAGCTTTTGTTTTCCTTTTTTTTAAGGGCCGGGAGCTGGGGCAAGCTGGGCAGCCATGGGGGAGGGCACTAGGAGAGTGGGCAGGGGTTGGGAGGCTCATGGCAGAGCTTCCCACACACCATGGGGCAGCAGGGGGCAGTGAGGTTCCCCCCCACGCTTGGCAGCAGGTGGTGAGTAGGGGCTTTTTTTTAAAGAGCTGGAAGCGGGGACCGGGCGGAGCAGCCATGGGGTGGGGGGTTGGGACAGTGGGCAGGGGTTGGGGGTGACCAGGGGGGCGGGGGGGAGCAGGCAGGGGATGGGGCCTGGCCAGGGCTCCCCTATGGTCCCCTCCTCCCTCCTCCGCCCCCTACTTACCAGCTAGGAGTCTGAGTTTACCTCCCTGCTGCAGCGAGCAGGGACTGCCTGAATCACCAAAGCTTTCCAAATCTTTCCGAATCACTTCAGAGAGCTTCAAATCAATTCAGACCTTGTAATTGATCCCCTGATTAGATTTGGATTCAGAGATTCGGCCACCAAATCTGGCTGTATCTCCTCCTAATCGAATCAGCACCGGAAGCTTCGCACAGCCCTATTGCTTAGATTTTAGTGACCAAACAAAAATGATTTTGACCATCACAACAGACATCCATTTGACTGTGGTCATCTGTACCTAAATCCTGGGTATAACAAATCTCATACCCAGATACCAGTCACATTTTCTGCTGACTGTGATTGATCTTTTACATTAGCAGCTTTAGACAGATACAGGAAATCCAAACTTCTTTATTGTTCCTAAAGTGTGTGGCGAGTCAAACTGTCAAGCTGAAGGTCACCACAGCAGGAAGACAGTGCCTTGGACTGGCATTTCTGCCATGGTAAATAGTCATTTTTGTTCAAATATTAGCTAACGAATCTTGTATTAATTAAAAGAACTTTAATTTTCTTTACTGTGTGTGGTAGTGTATTTTGAAAACCATACTTTAAAAAGGGGATTAAGTTTTTATAAAACAAAGCCAAAATCTGAATTTTTAACCAATAATTTGTTCAGAAAGGAAAGGCTGACTCTTTAAATAAAACAGAAAAAATGAAAGAAATTAAAACTATCTTTGAAAATTATGGTACTTAGAGGAAAACAATTACATTTTCTGACCAGCACCTAGATTTATGCCAGTACCCAGAGGGAGCACTGAGAACTCCATTAAAATATTAGCTATCGAAGGAGCACCGTTTTATCTGTGTTCTAAACTATCCAATACGCTGGAGCAATAGTGCCCAGGTCCACAATGAGGGCTTCTGAGGCACTTCAATAACCAGAACGATTTGTAGTAGCCATGTCCTTTTGTGTGAACTTTTCATAGGCATTTGCTAGGTTCAGTTCTACTGGTAAGAATTGTTGCAAAGACCTGTAAACATGGAACTACAGTCAATAATCCCAGGTGTGACTATTCACATATAAAACAGTTGTGTGCTTAGTGATGGAACATAAAACAATCCCATGTGATTTTTCTGACCAGTCAAAACAAACACTCTGTGACTGCAGCCCAGTCACAACTAATCAACCTAGCTTCTCTACCCAGCAAATGCTAAACAGATAAAAGAAATGTTTATGTAATAAATTCGAGGAATGCTGTGAGTTGCTTGCTGACAGTCTTATAACCAGTTGTTTATTTTTCTGATCACAATGATTTGCTCAGGGTCAGTGAGGAAGCACTCAGGTGAGCAAGATGTGAAAGGGGTAAATCCTGCTCACCCACTTCTTTTGTTGAATCTGCAGCAAAGCCAGAGAGTGTGCCGCTAACTGCAAGCAAAACACATGCAGAAGCAGGATCTTGCACTGTGCTAATCTTTAGGGAACAGTAACATTAATTAGAAAGAACATTATTGTGGCATAGGCAGGGATTTTTCTAAACAAATTCTTTCAGAGGGTAAATCATGGAGAAGAAATAAAAAGGCATTCAAGTTAAATGGGAATTTGTGAGGGAAAGGGAGCCTTGAATGCATGCACAAAGCAGCCTGTTCTTCCTGCCAGCAGATGGATATGGGAGAAGAGCCCTCTAGAGGGTCACTGTACCAGATAAAGCTGGAAAATGCGTTTTGGAGGCTCCCTTGTACCTACAACAAGCTATGGGAGTCCCCTGAAGGCTCTCTCTCCCTTCTGAAAGTCCATCTTTGTGCAAATAGAAATATAGAAAGCTTTAGTGGGAGTATCTACATGAGACTTTACTGTGGAGCTGTAGCTCCCCAGTAAAGTCTCAGCATCCACATGTGTGGCCCTATTAGGTCACAGGAAACTAATTAACTCTGCCATAGGTTAGTACTTGTCAACACAAGTACTATCCTACAGTGGCTTTCTTTTGTGCTGAGCAACACATCTCTCGACCAAGGCTGATAAAGACATGGGAAAACAACTTGTCCTCTCTCCTGGAATTTTAAAATAAATATCCTCTTTATTGGTTGCAGGCACCCAAAACAGCTCTTCATTTAAGCTGCCAGAACCCTGAGGGGAATCTACTGTAGTTATATGGCTGTGCTGGCTCTTTTAGTCACCTAAGGATTTTTCTGTTGGGTCAGAGTCTTAGCTGGAGTTGGAGTCCTCTTTGGGAGTTCCACCTCTTGGCTGGAGATTGCAGTCTCAAAGGGTGCGCAGGAGGAAAGAAAGCAGCAGTGGTATAGATATGTAATAATATAATAACTGATCCTCAATCTACCTCATGCATCAGAGACTGCATCTCTCCAGAGCTCAACAGCTTCTAGGGAGAAACAATAATGGATATTACCTAGAGAAGGCAAGGAAAGCACCCCACAGCATCCAGGATCATGGCCATGAATTCTAGTTTTTGTTCTGAACAATAAGAGGCCTCTGTAGCAGTGAAAGAGAGAGACCTAGGTAAACAGTATCTGGTTAGTATATGTGTCCCTGGACACTCCAGTATATTTGTCAATGTAGTTGCTTTGCTATTTTAAATCCTGATTGAAATGTGGTCACTATAAACTTGCATAGTCATTGAATTTCTAGCATATGTAGGTGTCTTAATTAATTAGGAGCAAAGAGAAGTAAAATACACAGCACCAAAAAAAAAAAAATCATCCAAACTCATGGCAAAGAAACTCTCTTACAGTTCTGCCGTTTCCTTTGCAGTGACAGGCTCAAGGACTGTAATTAATCATTCTGTTTTCTAGAGACTTATTCTTCTAATGCATGTATAATTTAAAAAGTAAGAAGGAGGGAAAGAGAGAGAGTCAGAGAGAGAGACAGAGAAAGAAAGAAAGAAACTTTTTTTGGTTTTGTTTTTTAACTTTTATGAAACATTTATTCTGGGGAGGGTGACAAGTGGGGGGCAGCAAAGACCCAACAGGTTGACTGAAAGGTCTGGGCCTCAGGTACAAGGCCTGGGCTCGTGGTCTGCAAGGCCTGCCCGCACACTGTAGACAAAACAAAACAAAACACAAGGGACAAAAGAAGTATATACATATATACAGTTCTACAGCGGAGATGCCCGGGGGGCCTCAGGACATCAGGGGTCAGCCAGCATGGACAAAGCCCGAGGTCTTGGTTTGCAGGAACTGCCCCTGCACCCTGAGCAGGTGCTGCCATCATAGTGCAAGGAGCAGGCATACCCCTTGATTTGGCACAGTGCCTCCTCGATGGCCCAGCATTCCTCAAAGGTGGGCACTGTCCACCAGAGGACCACATGCTTGAGCTCAAGTGAGAGGTGGGCCCACACCAGCAGGCAGACTGTCCATCCCAGTCCTGGTGAGCTAGTTTTGCTGGCTCTTCAGGGTGGCCATCCTGGCCTGGCCCACCCAAAGGTGCCAGTGGCCAGGATGCCATGCATCAATCTCCACTGGAGGTCATCGGTCTTCTTTGTGGTGGGCGCCTTGGACACTGTGCGCCATGCTGGGGTCCCAGGCAACGCCAGGCATTGCTGCCACATGGTGTCGGGGTGGCCGGCCAGCACCTGGCCAAGCTGGGTGTGCACCACCCATGCACAGAGTCCCCTCCAGGGCAGTGTGCTGAAGGGGCAGCCCTTGTTGCTTCTGGGGGGCATGGAGAGCCTCAGCAGTGTGTTTGGCCAGTCAGCCAGCTCAGTGCTGGTCATTCTAGTGGTGGCCAGTGAGCTGGTGTGCACCTTGATGTGGGCGGCCACGATGCTGGTGGAGGGAAAACTTGGCATGACATGCTGCAGGGCGAGGTTGTAGACCAGGGGCTCATGTAGTAGCTGCAGGAACCACAGGCGCCTGGCCTGGGGACAAATGTGGAAGGCAGCCCACCAGGCCCACACCATGCTGTGGTAAAATGGGGGAAGAACCGCCCCATTCAGGAAGGTGAGGTCCAGCAAAAACAGCTCCCGGTCAAAGTCAAGGCCCCCCACCTAGTGCAGGAGCCGGCACACCAGCTGCCACCACAGGAGGTGGCCCTCAGCATACAGGAGCCACTGAAGGGCTTACAGGTGGTAGGTGACCACCCTGATGACCAGGTCAATCAGGTCTTAGCCCCCCTCAGTGGTAGGCAGGTAAAGGGCAGCCCACAGGAGCCAGTGGCATCCATTGTAAAAAAGTCCACTAGGCATCACTGCAGCCTCTCGAGCAGCTCTGGTGGGGGGTCCAGCACAGCACAGCAGTGCCACAGGGTCACCACCACCAGGTTGTTGATGATGAGGACCTGGCTGTGGTAGGAAAGGGCAGGCAAGCACCAGCGTCAGCACTGCAGGCAGGCCTCCACTCCCTCCACCAGGTCCTCTCAGTTGTGGGCTGCAAAGGCCAGCGGCCTCAGGAACACTCCTAGGGCTTTGAGGCCTTTCTGGTGCCAGGCAAGGCACTCTGGCAGGTCCGGGGGGCATGTGCCAGCCCGCGTTCCAAGCAGGAGGGTGTCCCTCTTGCTCCAGTTGATGTGGGCTGACAAGGCGAGCTCGTAGGTGGGCTGGCAGTCCACCAGGGCCCGCACATCCTCCTGGCTGCCCAGGAAGACTCTCACATTGTCCACATATGCTGTCAGCCAGATCAGGGGGCCGGTGGTTGGGTCTGGTGCCAGTGGCAAGGCTAAGCCAGTCAGGCGATGTTGCAGAATGTACAGCAGCAGTTCGATGGCCAGGGCATACAGCATGCCCAACAGGGGGTAGCCCTGGTGGATGCCCCAATGTACTGGGAACAGGGCACACAGCACACCGTTCACCTTCAGCAGGCTGGAGGCGTTGTGATGCAGGACCCGGAGTGCTGCAATGGAAAGGGGCCCAAAGCCAAAAGCCTTGAGGGTGCTGAACAGGTACCGATGGTTGACATGACTGAAGGCCTTCTCCTGGTCTAGAGAGACTAGGCTGACATCCAAGCCAAAGAGCTCTGCAGCCATGAGCAGGTCTCACAGCAGAAATAGGTTGTCCTGGATGGTCCTGCCTTGCACACAGTAGCTCTGCTCAGCTCTGATGACAGAGGCCATGATGATGCGGAGCTGGTTCACCAGTGCCTTTGCCAAGATATTATAGTCAGCGCACAGAAGGGAGATGGGCCACCAGTTCTTAAGGCAGCTGAGGTTCCTCTTCTTGGACAGCAAGGTAACCACCGCCCGGTGGCAGCTGGTTGGCAGGGTCCCATCGGTGAGGCTCTCATGGAAGCCATGGAGGAGGCTGGGCCCAAGGAGGGGCCAGAAGGCTTTGTAAAATTCCATGGGCAGCCTTTCAAAGCCCGGGACCCTGCCTGAGATAAGCCCCCCCCACAGCAGCCTCTAGCTGTGCCAGAGAGAGTTCATGGTCCAGAGCCTTGGCTTGTGAAGCGCGGAGGTGCGGCAGGTCCTTATGCAGCTGTTGGGCAGCCTCCGGGCAGGTGGGGTCAGCTGCAAACAAGTCCCAGTAGAAAGCGACAGCATGCTTCTGCACTTGGC